TTGTGATTCCAAGTTTTTGGGTCTAAAAAGTGGGTATAAAGAGGCAAGGTGAGGGGACCGAGAAAAAGTTGGGTGTTAATAGTGGGTTACCAGTTCATTTATTTGGGTCATATGGGTCAACCCATGACATCATAATTAACTTATAAATAATAATGGCTTTTATTAAGATGGAATGGCTAAAACCAATGTTTGACCCGGACGGTTGGACCGTTCAGATTGGATGTTGTCCAGGCAACTGGTTCCGTTTTACCCTAAACCCAATCTCTGGCCAAAAATAGTTGAATTGGTCAACGACCCATTGACTCGGGTGATCGAACCATCAACCCTTTCAACGTTTTTTTGGTCATTTTTATTGTAATTACTTTATTTTAATTTATTTTATTTATTTGTGTCAAAACTGATCGACTGTTCAATCCGAACGATTGAACCATCAACCCATAAACCGGTGGCCAAAATGATTCTGATTCCGGGCCAGTTTTTAAAAGATTGACTAGAACACAAAAAAGAACAAATAATTTTTGACTCATGACCCACCTATCGGGTTAAACAATTTAGCAATTCAATTGATTGATTCACTAGGTTGACAAGTCAACATTTTTTACATGGAAATTCTGGTTGGCTAATAGGTCTAACTAGTTGGGTCGACCACAATTGAAAACATTGATTTAAACCCATCTTTAAATTTTAAATTTTCTCTTGAAATCTCAAATATCAACGACTCAACTCTAAAGAAAGTCATTAATTTAAAGTGTTATTTGGAGAATATAGTTCCATAAGATAATATTTTAAAATATCATAGTGGATAGTAATATTTCATGATAGTTCGTGCATCATATAAATTATCAAATCATGTGTTTCTTATGTGATGTACGTCATTTATGGTCATAGATGATGCATAATCCATTGTTCGTGGTAGATTTTGATATCATTGTGGTTTCTTTGTATGTTGATCACAGATTACAAAAGTTATTTGAATCACCTTTCATCTTGCTTGGTTAGTTATGTACCAAGAGATGCTACTTATTCAGTTTACGCAGGGTTGCCAGATTTGGTAATTCTCTTAACAGACCAAGGACTTTGGCTTGTTGTGTTTGATTTCCTCATTTCTACCATTGTTTCTGATTTATCACCAATCTAATGAATGAATGGAGGTTTGGCTTCGAAAAAGATTAATAGTCTGTTTGACTTGCAATTGGAATTGGAATCAGAATCAAAATTCTTTAGAATTAGTATTGGAATGGCTTATTCTCATAGTATGTTTGGTTCAAATAGAAATAAAAATGAAAATTAAAATCAGCAGAAATGAAATTTCATTCCCGAGGAAAAGGCAAGGAATGACCATTCCCTCAAATAGGGGAATGCCATTTCAACAAGAATGAGAATGGGATTCCAATTCCGCTCAACCAAACAGTTGGAATCAGAATAGCTCATTCCAATTCCGATTCCAGACTCCAACCAAACAGGGCCTAAAATTTGGTGTTATGAATATATATTCTTAGGATTTATTTGAGTTTCTATCCATGTGTTCTATTTTTTTTTCTACTAGATCTATATGCATCAAAAGCCTATTCTAATACGTCTTTCAAAATTGCTTTTTAGATACTATAGGTGTTTACAGTATTTTTGAACCTTATTGTATATAAAGCATAAGAAATCGAATTACTATCTTGGAAAATAGTATATAATAAGAAAATGGACCAATTTTCTAATTTCTGCATGTTTGTCTTAACTTGAAAAATGAGAAAACTACTTTTTCTTAGGAAGAAAAAGAACTTGAAAAAATAAAAAAAATATAGGGATCTCATTTTTAAGGAAAACTTGAGGCCAAATATAAGGATGGAAAAAAAAGTTATAAGATGGCACAATCAAAGAAGGGGGGGGGGAGTTCAGATCTGCGCCCCACAACGTCCCACATCACATTTTCGCCGTATATTGAGAACATCTCCTGGTGATGACACCATCATCTCTAATACTATCATCGGGAGATGTTCCCAATACATGGTGAGGAGGGGGGGGGGGCGGTAGCACATCCCGCTCCCTTAAATCCGGCCCCCAACCCTGATGTCAGCAGTATTTGATCCCAGGTCTCTACTCCAATGAATCAAAGAACCTACCAACTAGCCACCATCAATTTGTTAATGTAAAATGAAGGAAAACAAATGATTTTCCGAATATTGCTATTTTATCTGGTTGCATGGAAAATGGCCATGGGAAAAAATTTCCATTTTACCCCCCCTGCAACAACCGTCAGCCTGATTTATTTTAAATTTGAGAGAGAAATAAAGTAATGGCTTGTTTGGGTGATATATTGTCCAATTAAGAGGGCATTCTTGTAGTGAATTGGGATTAGCCAAATGCAATGGTTGTTCAACAGGCTGTGAAATTAATATAATATTTCACTCTAATGATAAATTCATAGGCCCCAYCGTAAAAGGTAAAAGATGCAAGTTCCATCAGGCATCTGTCCACTGAACAGCCAAATGTTCAGCTAATTCTTACTGTCCCGCAGCCGCGGCATTGCAAGATATAGACCCTGCATGGAAAATTAGCAAGTTGTATTTGATGAAAACCCTAAAAACTGAAAAATAAACTTAATTTTTTGATGAAGCTAATTTTGATAACTTCTTCAAAGCCGCTCAGAAGCCCTCCCAAACGGGCACTAATAGGTAGCAGAATTTTCTTTCCATGGTGCCATTATTCCCCACCCTCTTTCCATTGCAATCCTCAAACGCTTTTGATTGCTTATAATAATGAAGAAATAAAAATAAAGGAATAACAGTTTGGCTATCTTCACATGCTTGGCCATACGGCGCGGCCCGGCCCATACCCATCTCACTCAAAGCATGCAATTATGTGGTTGGGAGATCCACAAGTCTTACATGGACAAGCTCCAATACTTCAAAGGGATCGACTTTAGGGCCCACCCTGCTCATATGGGAGAGTGACACCTGTTTCTTGTTTGAAATAATTATTGCCAAGTGGCTTGAATTCAATAGGAAAAGTTTTTTTTCTTCTTGTTTGGTTGACAATGAAGGAAACGTCCTTCCATGAATGCATTAAATGACAATTTATAGGCATGGTCAAAGTGGAGCTCAAACAGGGGAAACAGCTTTTGCAGGGTGCTTTTGTTTTCTATACCCCAAAATTGGCTTTTTTAGGCTCTGTTGTAAATAAATGGAATCTTCGCCATAAGACATAATTTTTTTTTTTTTGGTTCAGTCAGTCGATTTTGGTTTTTCTTGGCAGATAGCACATAAAGCTCTTGTCTGGATCTAGATCCAGGGTATAGACATTGGATCAACTCCTTTTGTGGAGTTTTAAACTTTTAATAGGACGACTATTTAAAGCAGAATGCTTCAATATGGGCCTCAAATCCACTCATTGATGGATGCCTAACGGCCCAAGAATTTAAGAAACTAATTGCAACAGATGAAATCATGAAACCTGATCCGAAATTTGAACCGTTTTCCCCTCTGGGTAAACCACCTGAGTCAACAGTTTCTTTTTAATATAAAATAGTGGGTTGGAGCCTAAAGGTTGACCCGAAAAGTACTGTCACTTGTTAGTTCTGAGTATATAACCTTAATAGTATGATAGTAAAATACTGTATTATTTACTGTTAATAAATTAAAAATTTTAACTACATTATCTATCAAACTTATCATTTCAAACATAAAATATGATAAAAATTATAAGAAAATTAAGAATTAAAACCGACCCAACTATTATTGAGGACTAGGGGTGGATTTGAACCAGAACCTTGAGCTCGAACTTGGCTCGAGTTAAAAATTCATAAGCTCCAGCTTGATTTCAAGAAATTTTTTTTTTATAAAAATAAAAATTATATATAAAAATATTTTTTATTTGATATTTAAAAATTAAGAATTATAATATTTTATTATATATATTATTTTTTATAATTATATATATATTCAAGCCGGCTCGTGAGCCTCACAAGCTAAGCTCTAGTAGGCTCGAGCTCGATTGAAACCGATCTGAGCCGATCCTTTCATGAGCCGAGTTCAAGCAGCTTGTGAAAAGCTTGGCTTGTTGCCATCCCTATTGAGGACAAAATCATTGAACCAAAACCGTCATAGTTAGTTTGGGTAGTCAGGTAGAACCAACCCATTTATAGCCTAATTCAAATTGCCAAATTGCACTGAAATTGGCAGTTTGGTCTAGTTTAGCCTAAAAACAGTTTTGTTTGATCTAACAATTTCTCAGAGCGTAATTTTAGTTTGGTTTAGTTTTCTAAATTTCAGAAACCAGACCAAACTGTAAATTGAATTAAACCAAATTATTAATAATGTTATTAGTGTGTGTGCATGTATAATACATATTTTTAATGGAGAAGTACAGACAGGCCTAATGCAGAATTCTGAATTCTGCTGCAACCCTATAAACATTCAAAAGGTCAAAAACCCACACCCTATGCACTCATATGAGCTGACACCTACCCCAACTGTACTTTAGGCCTATGAAATCTGACCCTGGGCTGAACGGTCATTCTCCCAATGATGTCTGTATGTATATATTTATTTAACATTTCATACATTGTTGTTTGTCTCAAATTTTTAGCTGTGGTACTTGTTAATTTTTCAATTTGATATTTGAATTATATTTGTTATTTACCTGGGAGTACATGTTATTTGGCTTTCTAATTGAGTTAAGTCCAGTAGAATGGCCCAGATCATATTATAAAAACTGGACTAAAGTGTAATAGAATGGTTTGATCTGATTTGGTTTCTATACTAAAATGGTTTGATTTGGTTCGGATATCTTTTAAACCACTTGGTCCAAACTCTCCAAACTGAACAAAACTGGACCATGAACACCCTTACCGGGAAACCATAAATTTCCCTCGTTTCGATTATACAGTCATGTACCTTAAATTGTATGGTACATGATATTGGGCCTTGCAGCTCCATTTGGCTCAGAGCGGGCTACTTCTAGAAGTGATCTGGCCAAGTGTTATTAGAAAAAATTGGTAAATCAAATAATAAAGACCACAAATCACTTAAAAATAACTATTATTCATCACTATTTGTATACTCCTAGTGTGGTAGTATAAGTTGCAGATACATCTTGGACTGCTCAAGCTTCCAAACGGAAGGCTTGGACTGAGAGGATGAAGTAGGTAAACCGTTTCATTTGTTTAGGTGATCATCTCTCTTCACTTAACCAGAGAGTCAAGTGAATCCCATTATTCTCATCATTTAAATCTACAATCAAACAGCCAATAGTAATTGACTAAAACAAAAGTGGTAATTTCCCAGTAAACAAATTAACCCATGGTGTATGAAGGGGTTGGTAGGTTTATCACAGTGCTCTTAACCTTGGTCATCAGGTTAATACTGTTCGTCACTCCTTGTGATCCGATTCCACTGTCTCTCAGGCCCTGCAATAAATGACAACAATCCAGTGATTCTAAGATTCCAGTGTCATGTTATTTTGGACTTTGGAGAGTCAATGCACCTGGAAAGGAAAATGATCTGGGCCCCGAGCTGGTGCCGAATTGATTTGAACTGTCCCCGTCTCCATTGCATCACTAATCAAGATTGCTTTGTTTATATCCCTTGTGAAGACGCAGCCCTATGTTTTTATTCATGCATAAGAGAAACATTAATTTTAGCATGAACAATTCAGTTAACTAATCATTGTTTACTATCAACATGGATGACAAGCACTAATTGAGAAGAGCAACAATGTAATAGACAAAGAAATTTGCAATTAATGATCTTGAAGTTGCCTACTGTCTGGCTGGTAATCTTCTGCTGGTTGTAGCGGAGTCCTGGGATTGAATCCCATGTTTGTCAGATTCGGATTAAAGCTGATTTGAATTGAATATTCGTTATTTTAATTTGCCAACCTATCTACTAACACAACTCACTATTAATTGAAACCAAAAGTGAGGTTCCGATTATTGTTTTGGAAACCAGATTACAGTATAGTTCTAATTGTTAGCCCAATACCAATTTAAATGAATTATCAAACCACTAAGTTATTGATTTTAGGCCAGTGATTATTGGACTACAGAAATCCAAGGCAACCACTCATTGGATTGTTCTGGAACTCCTGGATTGAGGAGCAATCTTTGTTTCTAATTAATAGCTAGGTCCAGGGAGATTACAATAAAACAAACTTAGGGTTGGAAATATCATATGTTCTCAATAGAATGATGACAGGTTAGGAGAAAACACCTTGCTGTAGAATCTTCAATGTTTCATAGGAAGACAGAGAGAATTATACTGAAAAAAAGGGAGGATAGGAAGATGGAATATTTACCTGCAGGCCAAAATTGCTAGCATTGCAATGGTGAATTCCTTCTTCAACAGAGTTTATCCTTATGACTGGCAAAACAGGTCCAAATGGTTCCTCCCATGCAATCCTCATATCAGGTCGAACATGATCTAACAAGAGAGGCCAGATCAGATTTCCTTCTCTCCTGTACTCTTGGCAAAATGTTGCTCCTTTCTGTTTGGCATCCATCACCAATCCTTCAATGAAGTTCGCCGATGATTCTGTCACAACTGGTGTGATATCACAATCATCCTCTGGTGGTCCAACAGTCAACTTTGCTACTTTGGACTTAACTTTTTCAACAAGAGCATCAGCTACAGACTCAATCACCAAGACAACCTTAACAGCTGTACATCTTTGACCACTGTTATAGATGAAAACACAGCAATCAGGACATGTTTGTCAGATGTATTTATAAGAGTTAAGAGCCAAATAGTTCAGTAGCAAGTTTAGAGATTTCCCTAAATCCCTAACCTGTAAGAGAATCCTCCTTTTATGATGTTTACTGCAACTAAATCCAAATCAGCATCTTCAAGAACGATGCAAGCATCTTTTCCTCCCAGTTCCATTTGAAGAGGGATCATGCCTGCCTTCTTTGAGATTGCTATTCCAGTGTCTCCACCAGTGAAACTGAACAAATGAAAGATGCTCATGGGGTAGGAGAAAGTGAACATTTATTGCACAAATGTAAACACAACCTTATGAAGCATTGAAGGCCTGGAGGTAAGTAAAGATAACCTTATACAATTCACGCTAGGATGCATTGTGAGGAAGTCTCCAATCTCAGAGCCCTTTCCAGTAACACAGCTGATAAGGCCTTTGGGAAAACCAGCCAAGTGAAAACAATGAATCATATGGAGAGCAGCAACAGCACCCTGTGAAGAACGCAGAAGAAGTCAGCTTATTGGAAATGTGCATATTGCATATTTACTACCCAGACCAAGGTTCAAAATATCGTCATGTATCGGCCGATATGTATCATATCAGAGCCTTCCCGATACACCCATACAGGGGTTGTTTCGGGTTGGTGAGTGGTTCATGGGGTAGACCGGCCCCTCTCACAGATTAGAGCATAAATGAAGTTTCAGGGTAGAATACCTGAGTTGGAGGTTTGAGCACCAGGGAGTTACCAGCAATCAGTGCAGGAGCAATTTTTGAGACTGCTAAGTTAACAGGATAGTTGAAAGGCGGAATTGCTAATATGACCCCAAGTGGAATCTGCAGTTAAATGCACAGTCAAAGTCATTAACCTATTCTGAAATAATGAAGAAGAAATCAACAAAGATGACTATGAACTTGATTTTTTAGTTTCACTACATCTTGCTTTTAAAGTTCTGGTTGGATAGAAATTCATAGAATGTAAGAGTCTAAATCTTACTAAAATTATGTATACATAAAATAGTAAGGTTTGGAAATCTTCCAGGAAAATAAAAATCATATTCACTTCATGAGAGGACTTAGGTACATTCCAAGTTCTAAGAAAGATCAGAAACACACACAAGTAAAGGCAGATAAAAGGAAAAAAAAAGAAGAAAAGAAAAAAAGGTTCATCTAGGTACAATTTACAGAAAAGATGATATGCAATTTATCCAAAACGGCAGAACCCAACCTTTTTCATGCAATAAAAAAATCTACAGATAAAACTTTCACGTACCATTTAAACTTTAATGCGCATGACAGGATCTATTTGCAATATCTCTGTGAGTGTATCTTTTTTCTCTTTTTCTTTTCTCCCCCATCAGTAATCACAATTGACTTGTGTGAAATTGTTATTTTACCTTAAACAAAGTTCCAAAACTAGCACTTGTGTAGGCATATCCATGATTGGTCGGTCTAACCTATTGGACTGGAAGATTCACCCTGCAGGTTTATATGAAGAAATGGAAGTTTGAAAAAGAACCATCTGATTAGGTATAGCTTAGCAGTTCAGACCAATAGTTAAAACAGGATGAACTGGAAATTGGATGGGATCAACAGTTCTGGGATGGTTCAATAGTCATCCATTGGACTGGTACTCTGGTAGATTGACCAACAGTTTGAAAACTGGATGCACTGTTAAAATTAGGAACTGGCTGAGTCTCTGATCAACAGTTCTGGGACGGTTCAATGGTCACCACCAGATAAATTGGCAGTGAAACCACGAAAATAATGAAACAACCTACCTGATAATTTGACCTCTGGTTTAATTTAAAATATTGGTTTAATCATCTTGGTTCACCAGTCCAAACTGATTTTTTTTTTTTTAATGAAAATCAATGTCAGATCAGACAAACAAGTTAGGGACCAGTTATGCCATCAACTGAACCAAACTACCAAATCCTCTGGTTTCAATTTCAAAACATCCTCTTAAAATAATTTTACCAACTTTCTTGTTCATTTTTCCTTCAGAGTTAGTGCACTTGTTTATTGGATAGTTTGGCATGAAGTCCAGAAGGTCTTTAATTTTTATTAATTTTTTTTTTCAAGTCCAGAAGGTCAGATGAATATTCTATTGTCCTGCTGCATTGGGCTTAGCTTTCTAGCTAAAATTAAACCTAGACACTAGGATACCCAATGGAGAGACACCAAGTTGTCCAAAAGTGCGCATACCATGCCATGCATTCCAACCATCTTAAAAAATCCTGCTCAAACATGAAACCCAGCTCTAGGGTGCAACTTGGGTCAGGTTCCAGGTACCCAACATCCATGGCATCAGCTGACTTATCTTGACCTCTGACGGGGCATATCATTGAAAAAATGGTTGTTCTTTGTCCCTTATTGCCCAGGGAGGCTGCTTTCTCAAGGTTTGCCTCCTTATTATGATGCCTTATGAGCCTTTACCAGCAATCTACAGTTGATGCATCTTTATTAGAGCAATAGTTATCAAATAATGACCACACTTGTTTGGCTATTTGGAAATTTTAAATTTTTAACTAGGCGCATCACATCTTTCAGCTCCTCAGTCATCCTCACACACCTTATGCATTAGATCTATATTCATATCCCTAGTGGCTACTCTGCAACTTGGGCTGGGTTAGCCCGAACCCAATCCAGGTCGGGTCAGGCTCAAGTTTGGGCTAGGGTTGAAAAGTATAAACCCAACTTTAACTTTGGGTTGGGTTAGGGTTAAGGCCTTTGCAACTCAATCCSATCAAAATCTGACTCAGCTTCATAATAGTTAAGTCCAAATGCCATATATTATATATGGTTAATAATTCCTTGCACACATGTTTGTATATATGTATGGATGTATGTATTCCAGAAACATGATAACTATGTCCTTTTTAAGTATCATCATGCTAAAACTGAATTGACCTCAATCCTTGAATATAGTACATAAGAACATTTGACAAAAGAATTCAGAGAAATTGCGCAAACTTGCCAACCTGAAAACTTTCGGATTGTGTTAGGGTTCATAGCTCAGGTTGGGTTACACGACCTAACCTGGCCCGACTTGTACCCCTACTAGTGGCTAGCATTAGTTATCAATAAAGACGATACTTTTTTTTGGACGCATTCATGATCCCTGGCTCCTGAAGGTAGGGTTGTAGGGATGGTTGAACCATGGTTTTTAAAACCGAACCGGTCAGGGGCCTGGTTACCGGTTCAAACAGCCCGACCATTCGACCTGTTCTGACAAAAAAAATAAAAAATAAAAAAAAATAAAAAATGGTCAAAGCCGTTCGAACGATTAACCAGCCGGTTCAGTGGTTTGCTGACCAAAATCAACGGTTTTGGGGAAAGACGGAACCGATGACCGGTTCCTGGTTTTTCCGGTCCGATCCGGTTTTGAAAACCATGGGTTGAACACTTAAACCCTCTGCACCAGAAGTTGGTTTCCCGACAAAATTGAAATAAGGATACATAGTCATTTCCGGATAAAGACAAACGGTTTATCCATACCCGCTCATCTGCTAGAGAGCTTTTCCTCCACGCAATCTAAAGCCAAACCACTTATCCAATCGGATCAATCCAATAAAATGTCAAATTATTTTTGTACCCGACTACCCATCAAACAAGTCAACATACTTCTTAACTTGTTATCAAAAAGAAACATACTCTTGACTCAATGAACCACTACTATTCAAGCAAACAAGAAAAAACGAGGGTGGGAAATTACCTTAGAAGTAAGGCAGTATTTGGTCCTCTCGTTCCCGGGAAAACTATCGGATACAAGGAACTTCCCCTCTCCTAGAATTCTAACACCTTCTTCTGCAGTGTAAGACACCAAATCTCCAGACCTAACAACCTTCATCAACCATACCACAAATGCAAGTAAGATTAAGTTCAAGCACCAATTGAGTCCCAAATTTTGCAAATTTGACACCCATCAAATAACAAAGAAACTCAGATATAAGTTCGTTACCTCAGTGACAGCATCCTTAGCGGGTTTCGCGATCTCTTTGACGAGGCACTCCGCGATGGGACCTTTGTGCTCCTTGAGGACTGCAGCGGCCTTGTGTAGTAGCTCTGCTCTCTTCCAGAGAGGAGTCTTGGCCCACACCTTCTGGGCTGTTTTGGCAGCTTCCATGATTTTGTTCACCTCTGCTTGTGTACAAGCTGTTTGGAGGCCAGCATGGGTTAATCAGAAACTTGGACAAGACAACGAGTTGTCAGCAAAGAGTCAACTCAACTCGGCACTGTTGGCGATGTAACTCGGATGGTATAGGTTTATTGAGGTCGACCCGGATCAAGTCGTCGTTGTCCGGCTCAATCTGTTTTAGAGGTTGGAACAGAATAGGGCCAATGGGCCTGGGGGCATATGCCAATATTCGGATTCGTTCGCTCGTCATTGAAGCGTTTTCATGATATCCTCTTTTTCCCCTAATTTCATAATTTGCATAAAAATAGCGAATTGGTCGGAAGAATGCAGGGCTGACATCACTTGTTCAACGAAGAACAAGAAATTATTAGGAAAAGTGCTGACAAATCGATCTCCCCTCAAAATCTCAGGAAAAAAAAAGACTGTGTTTGAAGAAAGGCAATATCTATGATACCGGAAGAACGAAAAAGACAGATAAACTCCGCTTATTATTCTTTGAGAAACTCCAATATTAATCTAGTTTCAACTTTCAATTAGAGGGGTCAATAAGCYACTCTGAATCTGATCACACTTCTAATTGAAAAATCAGGAAACAAAAATATCAATTTGAAGTTTTCAATGGAAACATAAGCCAGGATCTTATGATCTTCAAATTTCAAGCCAAACCTGAACTAAAAACATTAAATTGGAAATTGGAACTATTAAGGTGGCGGATCGTCAAAATTGAGCAAAAAACTCAAAGAAGGATAACATTTCGGGCTTACGAGACATTATCATAAAGGATCCTCAAGTTTTTCTGGTAGAGACATTATCAATTAAACGCTTAAATTGATTACCTTGAACCTTGTACTGAGTTTTTCTGGTAGTAGGATTGATGATCGCCACAGATTTTCCAGAAGAAGATGTCTTCCACTCTCCTTCTGAGTAGTACTTGTAAACATCACCATCTAAGATATCCGCAAACACTCCAGTCCCCGTCATTTTCAGCGGTTCACACGACCAAAGCAATGAAGAAAAGAGCGAGGAAAAGCTCCGAAGAGGGATCGCTGCTGCAACTCTTCGCTTCTTTCTTCTTTGTTTCTGATGATGGCTTCTAGAGAGAGAGCGAACCGGTGAAGTGAAGCAGAGGGATTAGTTGGGCTGGTGTGTTAATTTATAAGAAGAATGAGGTGAGCCACGCTTTTCCAATGAATCAGATGGCCTCACTCGGGGACTCAGTTAGGCGGTTTAGAAGACTTCTATATTCTATTTTGACCCTTTGTTGGACAATAATTTACTATTCCTGCCCCTGAGCAGTGAGCACGACGATTCGACGGCAACTTCTACGTGTGTTGCTTATTACCAGAGAAAGGTAATAATGATAATTAAGCGTTGCTTATAAAAAAAAATGATAATTAAACGTTATTAGGCACTACATCATAACAGTGAAAAATGTGTAATTGTTGGGGGAATTTAAAAAAATCACTTTTTCCAAAGAATAAACCTGTATAGAAATCAAAGTTATCTTTTGTTATTCTCAATATACACAGAAAAGCATGAAAAGAGAAATGTTGAAGGGGCACACCTATATAAAAATATCCATGCTTCCAAACACACGGGGGTTGTCAGGGAATGGCTTGGTGGAATAATGGAATTTATTTACCATGGGACCCAAAAGTAAGAACTTTTGAGATGGGACTCACATCTCTAATTTTTTTTAAAATACCTATAACATTTAGGAAATTAATTAACTCTAATCTTATTGTTTTAGTATTGTCTTAAAGTATTTTTATTATTTTTGACAATTACCTAAAGCATGTGACATCACTGTTATAATTTTCAAAAATCTCTAATTTACCCGGTTGAAAATGCCCTTTTTGTTTGAGATGTGATTTGAAAATCAGTGACGAAATTACCCCAAAATTTGAGATATGAGAAACAAAGTCCTGAAATTGGATCTGATCACTATATTATCCGACGAATTTTTCAGAGAACTTTCCACTGGCAGAGTATCTCTCAGATTTGTAAGGAGCCCAAATTTTGAGATCTGAGAGATACTTAGATCTATTTTCCGTTGACCTCTAATATCGTAGTCCTCTTCTCTGCTTGCTCCACCACGCAAGCCGACCCCACATTCAACATCACCACCATCTCCCTTCCCTGTCGGACCTATAGTAGTCGTAGCATGCAAGAAGACGGAGGAGGAATAGCGGGTTCCAGTGAGATAAGGAACAACACCAGCTTTTGCTATGAAGGAACGACTATTCGGGTCGTGCTTGGATATGAGATGAAGATCACAGATCACCTCGATTTGGGTTTGTTCTGAAATGGTGCTCAACCTCTACACTAAAGACCTTGCCATTCGAAACACCGACAACTTCCGAAAGGCATCCCCACTCTCGAAACACCCGGCCATCCTTCACTACAAGCAAGAAAAGGGAAGGATGAGATCATTGAGCTCAAGACCTATGAATCTAAAGCCCTTTTCCCAGAATTTTGCCTGGCTTTGTGACGGTTTGAGCTACCTCAGGTGCATTCATGTAAAAACATAACTTTTCCTTTTTTGTATTTTCATTCATTGAGGATTCAGATACATATATACAAACTCAAACCTATATTTCCTATCTCAACTATACAAGATAAGGATTAGAAGAGAACGGAGACTCCTACTACCAATTTGATCCTAACTCAGCAGAGTCTCCTAATCCCGAAGACTCCTAATTCAATCCTAACACCCCCCCTCAAGTTGGAGCATGCAGGTTGTGAATGCCCAACTTGTGGAGAAAATACTCAAATTCTCTTCGACCCAGTGCCTTTGTAAAGATGTCAGCCAACTGGACGGTAGTCGACACATAAGCAGGACAAATGCAACCATTTTGAATCTCATCACGAACAAAATGGCAATCAACTTCAATATGTTTCGTACGCTCATGAAATACTGGGTTTGCTGTAATATCCAAGGCTGCCTGAYTATCACAATATAATCGCATTGGGTTCGAATGCGTCACTCCAAGAGCTAATAACAATCCCTTCAACCATTTTAATTCACACATGGCCGTGGCCATAGACCGATACTCTGCTTTCGCTGAAGAACGAGCCACAATGTGTTGTTTCTTAGTTTTCCAGGAAATCGACGATTTCCCAAGTAGAATAAATCACCCAGACAGGGAACGCTGGGACAAAGGACAACTCGCCCAGTCTGAATCACACCATGCATATAACTGCAAGTCACAATCTGAACGCAAGAGAATTCATTGACCAGGATTTCCTTTCAAGTAGCGCACCACTCGCAATGCAGCCTCCCAATGTCTTTCTTGCGGTTGCTGCATGAATTGGGACAGAACGTGCACACAATAAGACAACTCAGGACGAGTTGCTGAGAGATAAATAAGCCTGCCCACTAAGCGCCTGTATCGCTCATGATCAGATAAGAGAGGCCCATCTGTCAAGGCCAGATTGTGATTCTGCTCCATAGGAAAAGGAGCAAGTTTTGCACCAAGTAATCCCACTTCAGCGATAATATCCAGAGCATACTTTCGTTGAGACAGAAAAATTCCTGTTGAGTTTCGGGCAACTTCAATGCCCAAAAAATATTTCAATGGTCCTAAGTCTTTCATATGGAAGCAGTCACTAAAATATTTCTTGAAGACCTGAATTGCCATATGATTATTACCTGACACGATAATGTCGTCCACATACACGAGGACAAACACATGTACCATGTCTCGACGAAAGGTGAATAGGGAGTAATATGAACCTGATTGCTGAAACCCATATGTCTCCAAGGCTGTGGTTAATTTAGCAAACCAACATTTCGGCGCTTGTTTCAAGCCATACAGAGATTTTCGCAACCGACACACCATACCTGGTTTATCTGACTGAAACCCAGGAGGCATTCGCATGTAGACTTCCTCATGAAGGTCACCGTGCAAGAATGCATTATGTACGTCCATTTGATGAAGCTCCCAATTTCTAGCTGCTGCAACTGCAAGAAAGGTACGGACAGTAACCATTTTTGCAACTGGGGCAAAAGTTTCATTATAATCAATTCCCTCAACCTGTTTGTTCCCAAAGATTACGAGACAGGCTTTGTATCTTTCCAGTGTCCCATCAACGTTGTACTTGATTCAATATACCCATTTGCATCCTATGGCTCGTTTTTCAGATGGCAAAGGCTCTACAGTCCATGTCTGATTATTCTCAAGTGCCTGTATTTCTTTCTACATTGCATCCCTCCATTTTTCATCCTTTACGGCCTCAGCAAAAGAAGTAGGTTCAACTCCTGCAGTAATAGCTGCCAAGAAAGCATGATGTCGACGAGAAAAATTGTTATAATTCACATAGTTATCTATGAGATAAGGACTACTTGCAAGATGTGATTGACCGAATGAGCTTGCAAAGGGACGCGGAGAGGGACTCAAGCGTTGTGTGGTGTGAARCACATAGTCTCTTAACCTTGTGGACTGCTGTTTCTATCGATGCCCACGCCCCAAATGAGAATCAGAGTGTTGTTGTTGCTCAACATTGCCACCCCCCCTGACGTCAGGACTGTCTTCACTTGCATTTTCTGTGGTGACGTCAGAAGAATGCATGGGTTCACTAGTATTGGCATTTTGGTCTACATGGGTTCCTTCTTCTGCGAGTTCACCTCGCTGGTTAGTCTCCATCTCGCCATTTGCTTGTCCTGGTAAATAAGTGGATGGCACCAACACCTCATCTGCCCCACCTATTCCACAATGAAATTGGCCTTGTGCTTTGTTTGGTTGTTCATCCTCCTTGCGTGCATAAGGGAATTCGTCCTCTAAAAAGGTAACATCTCTTGATGCAAAGAACGTGTCGGACTCTAAATCATACAACCTCCATCATTTCTTTCCAAAAGGATACCCAACAAAAACACATTGTTTGTTTCGATTGAGAAATTTATCCCCTCCATGTTCATGATTATGCGCATATGCCAAGCAACCAAAAACTCGCACATTATCATAAGAAGGAGATCGCCCAAATAAAACTTCATAGGGAGTCTTTCCCTTCAATAGAATGGACGGTGTCCGATTGATCAAATAACATGTGGTCAATACACATTCCCCCAAAAAATCAATAGGCATGCTAGCTTGAAAACGCAATGCTCGGGCAACATTGAGTATGTGGCAGTGTTTGCGTTCAACCCTCCCGTTTTGTTGAGAGTCCCGTCACAAGTGGTTTGATGAATAATACCATGCTGAGCAAAATAACTAGCCAAGCAGACAAACTCAGTCCCATTATCAGTACGAACCACTTTGACATGTTTGTTAAATTGCCTTTGAACCATAGAAAAAAAAAATTCAAAGAACTTGTCCCACTTTTGTCTTATCAATCAGAAAATAAATCCAAACACCTCTAGAAAAATCATCTACTATTGTCAAGAAATAATGAGCACCACAAGAAGTTGTAGTTCTATAAGGACCCCATAAATCACAATGAATTAACTCAAAGATATCGGATGCTTTATTATTACTAGAAACAAACCCTTCTCGACATTGTTTAGCTCGGAAGCATATATCACAACCCTTAATATTGCCATCCTTATTATTTTTAGTACTAACAAAAGGCAGCAACTTAACAATTTTATGAGAAGGATGCCCTAACCTTTGATGCCAAATATCACACATCTTGCTCTCTGTAGTCTTCATTGCTCTTGTTGATGCAATGCTCCAAAAATAATAGAGTCCCTCTCGCTGTTCACCCGCTCCAATCAGCATCCTCATAGTTCGGTCCTGTATCACACAGAATTTATTTGTGAACTGAACAACACAATTCGACTCCTCAATCATTTGCGGCATAGAAATTAGATTGTAATGCAAACTAGGCACATATAAAACATTAGTCAATTTCAGATGATCGTCCAGCGTAACTGTGCCTTCTTTCTCTGCTATTGTCGCTTTCCCATCTAGAAGCCCGACAAAGCATGGAATGATGTTCTTTATGTCTCTCATCGACTCGAGTCTTCCTGTCATATGATGAGAAGCCCATGTGTCTATTATCCAYTATGACAATTTTCGCTTACCACTTAGTTGTTGACTCCCCTCTTTCTGTGTGTTCAAAAGATTGAGTAACATGTTCCCCTGCTCACTACTTAGTCCATTTAACCCAGTCTTGACTGCATCGATTGATTCTCCTTGAGACGCATTGGCTTGCGCAGAGACTTTGGCTGTATTGGCCTTGACTTGGCCGCCA